GCCTCTGGCTTCGCAGCCCGTCTTCTCGCCACCAGCTCCATCGCAGCCTCCATGGTGCCTCGGCCGCCGCCCACCCCGGGCACGGTGCCACGGACCCCGGGGCCCTGCAGGGCCTGGGCGGGGGACCCCCCGGGCTGGCTCCGGCTGCAGTGTCGTCCGGGGCAGTGTCCTGCCCTTACGCCTCGGCCGCCGCAGCCGCAGCTGCAGCCGCCTCCTCTCCCTACGTATATCGGGACCCATGTAACTCGAGTCTGGCCAGCCTGAGGCTCAAGGCGAAACAGCACGCCTCTTTCAGCTACCCCGCGGTGCCCGGGACATCCCCGGCCGCGAACCTTAGTCCGTGCCAGTACGCCGTGGAACGGCCCGTATGAGTGGCCCAGCCTCTCATCGCCGAGGGCGGGGGCGATAATTCACAGCCTCCCTGGACTGGGGTCTTCCAGACTGGCTTGCTCCTGTCCCGGAGTCTGAGAGGGGTGCTGGGGCTGCCGGCGTTGCGGGGGGGCGGCTGGCTCAGGAGAGAGCCTACCCCCTTCCAGGCCTGAGGGGTGGACTGGCCCTAGACACAGTCCACGACCCTGGACTAAGGCCAGGAACAGGGACCAGTTCCCCGGAGGCCAACTCACCCTTGGCCCACCCCGCCTTCTCCAGACTCTTCCTTCCCTGTTTTCAGAGATAAATGAAATAAATGTGCGCGGACTGTCAAAGGCCTGATGATTCAGAGTTGCGGTTGAGCCCCCTTCTCTCACCCTTCTTCATGTCTAAAAGGAGAGCTCGGTGTACAAGAAAGAGGTTACGGTCCAGGCTTCTAGGGCTTTGGTCGTCCTAGGCCCCCAACATCAGGTTGGGGAAGCCGGGGGAATCCCTGGAGCAGAGCGGCGCACGCATGCGTGCGTGCATGTTCGTCTGTAAGGCTTGGGGGCTAACTGCTCGGCGGGCGTTGGCCAAAGCTGGTGCTGCGGCGCCACCTCGTGGTATCATGGAGGATAACCGGAGGGTCTGGTCTCGAACGCTTACTTGCTGGTATCAATTCTGCAATTAAGGAAGCCTATGACTTGTTACTTCGCCTTTCTGCACCTGTTTCTCACTGTTCCTATAAGGGGCTTGAGCCTCTAACAGCAATAAAATTCTAGTCTGTGACAGACATTTATTAAGTGCCTACCAGGCCTAGGATTCTCATTGAGTGTCTCTGTGTGTGCCTCTCATCCTTCCACATGCCTTCTTAAGCTTCTCACCTGCAGGTCATCGAACTGCCAGCAACCCTCTCTCATTACAGCAGTCCCCTTCCCTTAAATCCCCAAAACCCCAAAATCTTGTTGAAATCTTTAATTGCCAAAACAGAGCAAGAAGAAAGATTTCTGGAACTATAAATAACTCAGCTCTGGGGAGCATCCTCCATCCCACCCCCATGCTAGGGCCTGCTTGGCCTTCACATTAAAAACAGAAACATCAAAGTACTAGATCACATCTCCATCCCAGGGGTGACACTTCTTGCCTGTCATAACTTCCAGCCACCTAGGGGCGCAAATCTCATGGGGAAACCATGCAGGAAAGGAATCCTAATCATTCTCCCAAACGTAAGCTCAGCACCTCAATGCCTCGGGAGAGGAGACTTTGGGGCTCCTTTTTCTTCAACCCTTCACTGGCTTTTGGTCTTGGCTTTGATCCTGGGAATTATGTAGGTTTTGTGGAAGTACTGGGCAAAAAGGAGGAAATAGGTCATATACAAGATGCAGGACCAGAAGAGCTCTTCCGTTGTGGTGTGGCATCCCTGCTGCTGTCTCCAGATGAAAGTCAGGATACTGAAAATGGCTCCCATAAACATCTGCAGGACCTGCAGGCTGGTGATGAACATGGGAAACCACCTGGGGGGCTTCACTTTGGCAGCCTTCAGAGTGTAGTAGGTGTACATGATGGCATGTACACCATAGTTCATGGTCATGAACCAGCCCCCTGCAGCCACCTTGTGCCTGTATCCAAAGCTTGCATACACCAGCACTGTGCTGTGGTGGTACCAGTGCACAAAGATGAGTGGCCGCTTACGCAGGATGATGAAGGCCGTGTCTCCTGAGAGATGGGAAGTCATAGTTGGCATACCATCCAGTGTTGGGACCACCTTCCATACTGGATATGGGAGCATAGGGGGAATTTTCAGGGCAGGGAGAGGGGTCTTTGTGGCAGAGAATCTGAAGAGGGGCTTGGGTGAGAGATGTTGTTAGGACCCAAGGTATTGGGAAGGGACTCTCCCTGTGATTTGGGGTGGGGCTGAGGAGGTATGCAGTTGACTGCACACCAGAGAGATAAAGCCTTATCACTCACCAAGTTCAATGATCTTGCTGAGAACAAAGAGGCAGGACCAGAATTTGATTATGGGATGGTTGATGAAGTCGGTGAAGCACACAGTGTGCTTTAGACTCCCCCTAAGTAGCAAGGTCCCCATATAGACCCATGTCCTCACTGCCCCGAGGATACTGAAATGGGACAGAGGAAAAGGGTATAAGGATCATCCACAGGCACCAATTCACCCTTCCCCCTTGGCCTGGTCAGGTCACTGACCCAAGTTCTACCATCTCCCCACCCTTTCAGAGGAGATGAGTCACAGCTTCTGAGATCCTGGGGCCAATCTGGTAGAGCCAACCAGTAATCTAGAAGAGATGAGAGCCAGGGAAGGACTGGGAAGTGCTGGAGGATGGGACTGGAAGTTGAGTTAGGGAATAGGGCTCATGGGATGGGTAGAAGCCTGGGAGGAGATAGGTGGCAGGATGGGGGCAATTGAAGGAGTTTGGGGGAGGAAATATGGAAAGGAAAGGCTGGGGAAGCAATTGGAAAGTCTTATGAGAGGATGTTAAATTCAGAGAATATTAGAGGATGGGGAAATGGTTGGAAGTACCCAGACTCCATGAGCACAAGAGGACTCATGAGAGAGAGAGCAGAGACTGCCAGTTTGGGGACTGGGGAAGAAGGAAAATAGGGTAATATGGGATGAGGATGGAATCTGGGGAGAGGAGTTAGGGCTGAGATAATGGGATAGGGAGAGAAGTAGGGGACAACTTGGGGAGTTGATGCGATTTAGATTTCTAGAAAGCTTTTAGGAATAGAATGAGGTCTACAAGACAGGTGGGGAGTGTGTGGGTGAGGACTTACCTGAAGACTGCAAGGCAGAAAGACCAAAGGATGAGAGATCCCTGAAGGTTGAAGCCCTTCCGTGCCTTCATGTAGTTCTGCCCCACAAAGATGAGCAGCAGGTAGATCAGAGCTATGGCAAATGAGATTGCCCTGGCAGGCAGAAGGCAGAGGGGATGAGCTTATAGGTGGGTACTGGTTATAGGAATACCCACTCATCTCTCCAGGTGAGTGCCCTGGGTTGGAGTCCTAGTTCTGCCACCTACTAGCTGTGTAACATTGGAAAGACTACTCAGTTTTCTGAGTCTCAGTTTCCTCATTTGTAAGGGAGGACTAACACTCCTCCCCTGACAGTGTTAATGTATATGAAACACCTAGCACAGGGCAGGGGATATGTCCAAGGCTTCTGTGACTTTTGCTTTCTCAGTGGGGTTGGGAGTGGGTGACAGCTGCCCATGCCTAGAGACAACCCCAGACCGTAGTGTAAGAAGAATGTGGCAACAGCTTCTGCCTAGCTGGATCAGGGCAAATTGCCCGGAGCACAAAGTCAGTCCACAAACACTTTTGAGGAGTTCTAGAGCAATGCCAGGGAGCCTGGGGAAATCTTGGAAGAGCATCCTGACTTTGCCTCTTTCTCCACAGCAGGGAGGATGGAGCATTTGAGGAACAACGTGATAACTGCAAAGGGCAGGCTGTCCCTGGGCACCAGCACTATATACCCACGCGCGAACCCGCCGCCACAAAGGACGGAGGGGAGTCATCTATAAGGTGGATGGGAGTAGGAGTTCAGATCAACCCTATTTCTCAGAGACCAGTTCTCACTACACTCTTTCCCCTTGGTTTCTGTCTTCTCCCACATTCCTCACCCCATCCTCTTATTTCTGCCTTTCTTTCTTCCAGATCTCCTCTCTTTGAGGTGCCACACTACCTGCACCTTGAACAATGAGGACGTGAAGCCAGTACAAGGGAGACCAATACCTTTGATCTTTAGCAAAATCATTGCGGGCATTCTGTGTCGCGTCCCCTCAACCCCCAACCCCACACAAATAGCAGTCATCAGAGTTGGGCCCCTGGCATGGCCCTTCCCTTTCCCCAGGTCTCACCAGTACTCCTCCAAAAAGGGCCTTAAGTCCTGGAACATCTCGAAGTTGTAGGGCTGTAATATCTGCTCTATTTCATCTGAGACATTCATGGCTGTGACCATTTCGTTCTGCAAACGCTGATGTCGGGAGCTGGACAAGAGTTAGGGGACAGAGGATAGAGCGAACCTTGGGAAAGGACTGAACAGACCTGGAACCCAAGGAATTCCGAGGCAAGCCAAAGAGTGTCAGATCCAGGCACTGCGCTGCGGTCCAACCGCCTTCCACTGCCGCCGCCACTGCGTTATAAAACCGGCGGCCCTTGAGCGGTGCGCGGCTCCCTGAGCTCTGCACTGGTCTGATCTCGACCAAGATACGCCCCCATCCCGTCCCTGGCCCCAGCCAGTTCTCTGATTGGTCACTCTCAAGGGCGCGTCCCCCAGGCGCCTCGCAAGCCCCACCCCAAACACCTATCATAGTCCTCGCCACGCCCACTTTCCCATCTTTTTTTTTTTTTCCTCCCCCAACACCTCTATTCCCACCTGCTTAGCTTGGCCCTTGTAACCTTGCCAGTTACTCGTACAGGACCGGCTTCTCCTGGCACTACCAACTATCGCCTTTGCCTCAGTTTGCTTTAATCCTGACCTACCGGGCAGTGAGGAGAGAATGGAGGTGTCCTTAGCGTGCCCCCTGAGATAGATAGAGGTGTCGGTTTCCTGCCTCCAGGAGACCCTAGGAAAACCAGACCCGGGATGAAGATGGGTCAGGCTGGGGAAGGGGCAGCAAAAAAACCCTCCCATAGTCCCATCTGCCTCCTTCAGGTCTGGTTGTGGGTGGCAGCGAGATGAATTGCAATGAATTTTATTGTTGAGGTAGTTGATGTTGATGTTTGGGGAGATGGTAGCTGAGGCTGTTGTGGTTTATTTACAGTTTCCTGAATTCCTGAATTGCTTCAGCCTGACACCCAGTAATAACCCTGGGAAGGAAATGGGGTCACCCTCTAGGCTTCTGGGATTATTGTCTTCAGGTTTCCTGGAGACCCTCTGGGGTTTATAGAAGAGGAGATGCAGTGCATCTCCCAGTGTCCTGTGGTTCTTCCCCAGTCTGTGCTCATCTAATCAGACCTCCTTTTTTCTTGCCTGAGTACCCAGCCCCAAAGAAATACATTTTTTTTAACTTTAAGGCCTTACTTGCCTGTCCCTTATTTCTCTCCTAGGCTTTATGAAAGTGAGGGAGAAATACAAGGCTTGAAGGTTGTTTGAGATAAGATGGGGATTTGCAAAACAAATGCTAAGAGAAACAAACATAAAATATTTAAAATCAAGATGTGGTATAAATGGCTCTGTGCAGTAAAGCTCACAGGCTCTGGAGCCAGAGGAATCAGGTAGGAATTCCAGCTCCCATTCCTTGAACCTCAGCCACTGTCCAGGGAAGGGTGGAGTGGGAAGTCCTGCCCAGGCTATCTCAGTGACTCTCAAGTGCATCCCTTTGTCTCTGGATCTCATCACCTTTCACCTAGTAACTACAGCCACTACCTTAGACATGTTAACAGGTTGTGCCACCTCCTTCTCTAATACAGCAGTTTCTATTGCATTAGAATCAGAAAAGAATATCCAAATCTGGCTAATTGTAACACTCCTGAGCCCCAACTCCAGAGATTCTGACCCAATATGTGGCGCCAGATGATAGTTTGGAAAGCACCACTTTCTATCATCTCATCCGGAAAAGGGTTCTAAAACCTAAATTGGCCTCCAGAATGAACTTCTATTGTTTTAAAAAGTAATAATAATAATAAAACCTAAGTTAGATCATGCTGCTTTCCTGCTTAAAACCCTTCAGTGGCTCTTGATTGCTTTACACATGGCCTGACACTACAGCATGTGTTTGATGGAAAAAGGAACAAATGAAAGAATGAGTATTGCAAGAATAATACCATCAAGGTGTTACAAGACCTGGATTCAAACCCCAGCTCCACTAACTAATTGTGTGATTTTAGGTAAGTTACCTAACCTCTCTGAGACTCACATTCTTCATCAGTAAAATGTAGACAGTCAAACTCACCTGCCTACCTCACAAAGTTGAGGTCAGTATACAAGTCAGATAACATCAGTGAAAGTATAATGTGGACTAGACACACGGAAATGTCAGGGTGAATCATTTGGGGAGGTTTACAAATGCATATAGAATATGTATACTCAGCCCTGGGTGTTTCTCAAATGAAGATACTTTACATTGTCTTTTCCTGTGAAAGTTAATGGTGTGGCTTGAGAGAGAGGTGTGTGTAAGAGAGGAAGAAGAAGAAGAAAAATCTCCAGAAATTATTTCCCAGGGTAAACCTCTCCTGACCTTTGGACTCTCTCCATATTGTTCCCTCTCCCCAGACATCATTTCCTCACCTGAACAAATCTTATTGTTCGGTCCTAGCTCTGAAGTCACTTGCCCTGCAAAAGCCTAATCTGTGACAGACAAGGTCAACCCCTTCTTTCTTTGTCTCCCACCCACAGGACTTTGTCCAAACCGCTTGCCAGTATTCTGCTGAGTAAGTATAGTTAGCCATATATTTTCTATACTATCCTGGCTCCCCTACCCAAAGGGTCGTTTTTGTTAGGTCACTCACCCTTTGAGGGAAGCACACAGCACTTGGCACAAAGTGGGCATTCAAAATACATCTGTGTCTCTGAATTGAATAGGAGCCTAAGAGGAAAAACAAACAGTAAACACACATATTTTTTTAAAAAGACTCAACTTCCTTAGTAATTAGGGAAATGCAAATTAAAGACTGTAAGTACAGTATGGCTCCAATTAACAGCCATTAAACCAAGTAAAAATTAAATATGCAGTGTAAGTCCAAGCTTTGGGAAACAGATACATTCACATCTGGCTAGTGGCCAGGTAAATTAACATCATCCTTCTAGAATCATACTTAGGTAACACTTAACAAGAGCCAACTGATCTACTTTGATCCACTCACCTAGGAACTAAAAGACCAGTGAATTAGGCCAAAAGGAAAATAAATCTGTATGTCACTGGGACTGAAAAGAGCTGCGAACAACCCACTAATGAATGCTTAAATTATTAAATAAGATTACAAAACAGCTTGCAGCTGTTCTACCAGAATATGGAGAACATGAAACCATGTTTGTAAAACAGTGTGAAAGAAAAACAACATTTTAAACTGTATCTATCCTATTACCTCAGTTATCTCAAAGTGATGATGTCTGTAAAGATCAAAGTCAATTAGAAACACTAAATGTGAAATCATTTGATAGGATGGGTGAGATTAGGGGAAAAAATAGTAGTATTTAAAGTTTTCTTTCGTGATATTTTAAAATTGCTATGCATCCAGGGACTCATGCCTCTAATGACACAGGAAATGATCAGGACATGATGTTAAGCAAAACAATGTAGGATATGAGTCTGTATATATAGTATGGTCTCGAACTTAGAGAAGAAATGTAGATGGAAAGAATATTTGTAACTTTTTGTAGAGAAAAAATATGGAAGAAATTATGTTGAGAACAAGTATTGGAAGGAAATGCACCAAAATACTAGAGCTTATATGGATGGTGGAATAATGGGTGACTTTTATATTATTTTTATAAGTAGTAAGTGTTCAAAACTAAAATAAGTGTATCAAAATTTCATGGAATTAATTCTTTTTTTAATTTTTAAATTTATTAAAATTTTTTTTTAAGAGTTAAGTCTTTCTTTGCTACATATACTGTCACTAATTGGCTTCTCTGCTGTTTCCCATCCATACCATAAGATCCTGCATGTCCCTGTCAGATTCCTCTCCTTTCCCCAGTATTTTTACTCTCTTGGGTTTGCTTCGATATTTCTGCTGTGCCTTTACTGATGCTTCTTCCTATACTTCCCACCTCTTTGATACTGCTGTTTCTTAAAGTTCTATCCCTGTCCCTTACTCTTTCTCACTCTATACTCTCTTCCCTAGCTATCGAATTACCTTTCAAGACTTTACCTGTTACTTCTATTTGGATTAACCCAACTTATCTTCTTTCTTGCCTCTCTTCTCTATTCTTTTTTTTTCCTTAAGATTTCAGAGATGCAAATACTTCCTGAAGAATCAAATATCTTGTCTATTCTTGCTCACATTTCCCAATGCCTGCCAGACTTCGCCACCTGGTTGATTTGAATTATAGACTGCTCACACTCAAGTGTAGAAAACCCAGCTCACCTTTTGCCCAGACCTACCTGTTCATTTTGCTGACTTCCTATTTCTCTTAAAGTCACTATCAGGCTCCTGGGCTCATAAGCAGGACTGGCTACATAATTTTCAGGGCTTGGTGCAAAATAAATATGTAAGGCCCCTTTTTCAAAAGTTATTAAGAATTTCAAGTTGGCGGCAGTAGAGCATCAGACCAAGTTTAGAGTGCGGGTCCCTGGGTGGCTGCACTGGTTGCACACCTGGGCTTAAATCTAGGGGTCATTTTGGACTCCCCTCTCTCCTTTAATCTGGTCTGGCTGACAGGGTAGATAGCGCATCCAATCACAAGGATGGGAAATAATGGAGGAGGAATGAATAGTGAGGTGGGAAGGAGATGAGTTCAGTTTGAGCCCCATGAATCCAAGGTGCCAGTGGAATGTCCAGGTCAGAGCATCCAATAACCAGTTGCCTAGAACTCAGGCTGTAAGTCTGGCTTCAACACTCAAGGTAGAGGGTATCACTGGACTCCTGGCTGTGGATGAAATTGGCCAGGGAGTGAAAGTCAAGTAGGGCTTTTCAAAGCGGGGTACATGGAACATTTACACTGTAATCTCCAGCTTGTTGAAGTCTCCTGGGCCCAACCCAGCCCTCTGAATCTGAATATATCTGAAGGTTGATAGGGCTTGGGAATTACAGCTTTAACAAGCTTCCAAGTTGCTTCTTATGCTCCTTAGAGTTTGAGAACTGTTGATGTGAGTGAGAAGACTCACTCTTCTACATCCCCAGAAGAAATATCAATGGATAAGGTAGTGGCTTTCCTACTTATTTGATTAAGACACACAAAGAGAAATACATGTTATGTTTTAACTCTGCACATACACACATATTTGAAATAAAATTTTTAAAAGCATAACATATTCTTACCATGTTGTGTCTGATATTTTTTCTACTGTATTTCACTATTTTAAAATGCCCATCATGACCCACTAATAAGCTGCATCCTGTAATTTGAAAAATAAAAACTGATTAAAGAGTTATCAGAGGGAGAAGATGTTGACAGGGGTTAGGAAAAAAATAAATCTAAATTCTCCACAGGTTCTTCAGGGTCTAAATTACATTTCAATGCTTTTGAGAGAGAGCCTGCATCTGAGTCATTTTGAAAGAACTCTCAGTGCATCCAGTGTGGTAACTGTGACAGGATGAGTGAATTCATGGAAACCATGGTTCTGCCAAGAGTCCACAGTAACCCCCACTGTCCATGCCACCAGCCCAGGTCACAAGGAGGCTAGTGCCTACTAGATGTAGGCACTAAAAGGGACATTGGAACTGCTTTGAGAGGAATACCCTACCTTTGTCTCTGCCTGCTAGGATCGCCTCTGTCTTCTGGGTGTCACCTGACTTTCTCTTCAAAGGCCTCCCCAACCCCATCCCATCCACATCATCACTCTATTTGATTAGGGACCCAAGAAC